CTTCTTGGAGTCCAAAAAGCCAATGTGTTTACGGCCCCGAAAATGAGATTGCTGCAGTGACCTTTTTTGCGAAAAATGGCGCAGCTTTACCAAAAAGCAATACTTTTGCAAGTGTAACGGAATGGCAGGATTCTGGGGAACACGGTTGCTGATTGAAGGTCTCTAGCCCCGTCTGCATGTTGCCAATCTTTGCGAAAGCACCATGTGGTTTGGAATTGTTTGGGTGTTGTTGTCGCAGGCTTTCGCAACATGGCGTGGGTGAGGTGCTGATTCTGCTGCGACATTGCTGGCGGGATACTTTTTCTGTGTTTGCGTTTGCACTGCTCAGTTTTGTTTTGGTCTCTTGATGCGTTGTTTGTTTTTGGGCTCCCCCCCTTCGCCCCCCTAGACTCCTAACGCAGCAACTTTGCGGGTCGGGTCGTGTATGTCGCCCGGAGTTCAGTATCATCCGATTAAAGAATAATAGTATATATTTAAAACCGGATGAATCCTTTGTTTACATTGGGGGAAGAGTTTCGATTCCATGACTCCAGCAGATTCCGTAAGAAGGCTGGAGATGCGAAACTTCCGTTTTACCACAGTTTTGTGCCATTTTTGCTGTCTTTAGCTGCGGAGTCTTGCCGGAGTCGGGCGGAGTCGGTACACCTGCTGAAACCCCATTTACAATGGGAAAGGGTTGAAAGAGTTCCAACTTTGTGACTCCAGACGACTCCGCAAGAATCCGCAAGATGCGCAAGATGATGTCACTGAACTGTTCGATTTGTTTGATGCCCATTTTTGGGGTTGGAAAGGCATATAGAATTTGGACTCCTAAAGGCGGTCCTCCCCAGTACCACGCCGTGGTTGCAATTAGATATCCTGATCTCTGCAGACAGATCAATGACATATGGGAACTGGGAAGTTTTGCCTCGGGAGGACTTCCAACTCGGCCACCAGGGTTCCAATTAGTGCTTTGGGATACTAATGCTAGGATTAACGGGCTGGTAGCGACAGACCTGGAGACTCTTGTGTCAGAGGTACTCACCCCGTTCCCCAACAATGCCGGGTTTGCCGATGGGCTTTTCGTAATGACCACCGCAACAGACCACAAGAACAATTTGAACCGTTCGGTGCTGAAGAAAGATTATGCCCGCACGCTCCGCGTAGAAACAATAGCCAACTCAGCAGGAGGGACATCACAAGTAGCAATCGTGGCCCAACCTAGTATTGGATTCCTGAACACAAAGTATTACTCCAATGGTTCCCCCACGGAGGATACGGAAGACTGCCTTGGCAGAATCACGGTCGGACTCACCCGCTCAAAATCCCTGACCCTTTTGGTTTCCCCGCTCGACATGATGGGGCTCATGGGCATGGCTCAGGTGGTGGCGACCATAGCATATGGCATCCGGGGTCTTCGAAGAGGAGAGACGACATGGAACTGGCCCGAATTCGATGCTGACCCCGAGCAGGAAAATCTTGCGCAAATAACTAGATGGTCATTGAATTCCGCACCTCATGGGAATTCCCTCCCCTCGCAATCGCCAACCAATACCAAGACCAACAAACCAATACCAAGACCAACAAACCAAAGAGGTGAAGCGAGCAAGATACCGCCTGATTTTAATTCGAGGGTCGGACCTACGCTGGCTGACAAGAGACCGCTTTCAGGAAGTCAAAACAGGTCTCGCAGCACAACATAAATGGATTCCTGTTCAGAATCTTCCTTTCCCAGAAGTCGTCCTGTATGCCTATGCAGCCGATCGTACACACTTTCCCACATATGTCTGCCTGCCTTCAGGACTGTACAAAGCGCGAACCGGACAAGTGGTACCAGTGACCGGCCCAGAACAGGAACTCCCAACGTTACCAATCCCCGACCACCTGCCACGCACCCAAGAGGTACCGGTCCAAGACATCACTCTGACTGCACCTGCGCCTGGTACCGAACCCACTCGGTCGCCGGAAGAAGAAGCGAGAGACATCCTGGCAACAGCTGCTAAAAATCAGGCCGAAGATGGACCAAACACAAGAAGGGCCGCAGTCCGCGCATGCAAGTACTTAAGAGCTATGGTCAACCAGTATGAGTCCACTATACAAGAGGTACACAAGGCGGCCCGTACTCACACACAGATGAGCAAGGGCACTGTAGGGCCGCCTGTAGATTACCGACCGCAAGGGGGGCTCTCCCAGTCATATCCCCAGAACTCACTTCAGAGTTAAATTCGCTGTATCTAGCTGCCAATTCATGGCAAGTAGCTGTTGGTGATGAGGTACAACCAAACATAATTCAGACTGAGGAAGTGTGATTGTTAGGTTGCTACAAAAGCCATAGCCAGCACAGAATGCCAGCTATGGTTGTTAGATTGGCACACAAGCTACAGCCAACAGAGGCTTCCACCTGTGGCTGCTAGGTTGCTACAAAAGCCATAGCCAGCACAGAGTGCCAGCTATGGTTGTTAGACTGGCGCACAAGCTACAGCCAGCAGAGGCTTCCACCTGTGGCTGCTAGGTTGCTACAAAAGCCATAGCCAGCACAGAGTGCCATCCGTGCTTGCTAGTATGGCACACTTGCTAGTATACATGATATATTATGTATAATTACATTCAAAGAACATATTGTATATGTATGTTTGTACTTGTGTATGCATGTATGTATGTATGTATGTATGTTTGTACTTATGTATGTATGTATGTATGCATGCATGCATGCATGTATGTAACTATGGATGTATGTATGTATGTATGTATGTATGTATGTATGTAAATATGTATGTATGTATGTATGTCTGTACGTATGTATGTATGTATGTGTGTATGTGTGTATGTATGTATGTATGTATGTAGGTATGTGTGTATGTGTGTGTATGTATGTATGTATGTAGGTAGGTAGGTAGGTAGGTAGGTATGTATGTATGTATGTAATGTATGTATATATATATATACCAAACAAAATAACCAATGTATTTACACTTGTTTGGTTGGGTACGAAACCCACCCCATAGTTTCAAGTTGAGTACAAACTGTGGTTGAAAGGGTTCTCAATGCAACCCTGTTGATTGAAGATGGTTTTCAAATTCCACGTTTTTTTGAGCACCCCACCAAAACAGACATGTTGAAATAGAAACGCTTTTACACCCAGAATCCCGGAAATTGAATAAGGTTGAATTCCCATTGTTTCCATATTTTGGTGTGGAAACAGCGCGCTCTGTTTTTTCTCCTCGAATTAGCGGCGATTTCGTCAGCCATATGTTACATCCAAATGGTTTGGATCAAAATGCTAATTTGTGCTATTGCACATGGTCTTGAAGTTTTTTTTTCAATGGGCCCGCGGTGGTCTTCTCATCTTTGATCATTTCCTGGATGCCCCAGTCTTCACATCCACAGTCTTGGCTGATGCAGCGTGCGCTGCCCTGTTCTTTCCTCACGCAGCTGATGGATTCTTTTGAGGGACCCCAATTTATCATAGCAACGTAGTGAGATTATCTTGGTGACATGATGACCTCATAGAATCCAGGTGAGTTTACAATGACATGGTGACTTACCCCATAGATTCCAGTGATCTAGTTTATCATGGTGACAAAGTGACCCCATAAAATCTAGAGACCCGTTTATGATTGTGAGTTTTTTTTGGCCCCATAGACTTCAGGGATTCACCAAAAGAAAAATAAACATTAAGCAAAACTAAAAGTGCTCCAAAAGATATTGCGAAATTGGGCCGAGATAGCATGAAAGGCACAGCTTTTCATACTTCAAAGGTTCCAGGAGCTCCACCCAATGGGACAATTTCGACATGCTGTTGGTTGCACAACGCGTGTTTGAGACCAAAAAAACTTCGGTTGGGTCATGATGATTCCAAAAACTGTTTCTCGGAGACTTGTGCTTTGAATCGGGTTTTGATGTTGATGAGATCCACTGTGTAGGCACAGAAAAACCGAGCACCTTTTTGAGCAGATGTTCGCCTCACATGCGCATACCCCAGCGCGTTTGCGTCTCAAACGTAAATCCAGTTGGAATCGCAACTGGGTGGTGGATTTTCACACCAAAATTACATCACAACTGCTTCCCCATGCGCCCAGCCATGAAAGCGCTGCGCTCAGCTGACTGCATCCATTCTGCATGTGTGTCCTTGACTTTCCGACCTGGATTAGCATCCATCCACGTGCGCACCTAAGTTTGGTAGTACAAAAACAGTTTGAAAAGAATCAGCTGGACCATATAAAACAGTGCACACAAAACAATTTTCATCACATATATACTAGATATACCATACCAATTCGTAACATATAAAAAACTGAAAAATAACACGCGGTAGGGTCCACAGTGATAAATGGATAGTCATCTTGATTCAAGTTACAAATGCCCAGTGAGCTTGCTTCAATGTCATCTTGGTAGGAGTCTCCTTCGCAGCCTTTGGCTTCGGACTTCCCTTCTTTGGACTCACCTTCTTGCCCTCATCAGCGCTGTTTTTCTTTGCCTTTGTTTCTTTCAAAACCTGATCTAGAAGCAACATTTTGTAACTAAATTCGAAGATTTGCTCAAAAAGAACACCTGCTGGAAAATATGAAATTAATCAGTGCCAAACAAGAAACACCCTTGCGCGCAAACTTTCCGTGCCATGTCCTGCTGTTCAACCTTTTGCGCATCAAACGTGCTTCCTTGATCTTGGCAATTTCCTCACCGCTCATTCCCTTGGAAATCCTTACGCTCTTTGAATCTGTGCTTGCCACCTGACAGGGGTAAGAAGGATCAAATATGGTTGATGTAATTTGGTAAAAAAAAATTGGATATCAACAATCCATCAGAAACAGAAATGTGCGTGTGTGTGTGTGAGTTTATTTTCGAAAATGGCCTTGTTATCAGCGTTACCAACATCTTCAGCTGTTTGATGATTTGCAGGAATCGCACCATTCATTCGCTTGCGCTTGGCTGCAGCTTTCACAGCCTGATTGGGTACAGACAGTAGGTGTTGAGTGACTACAAATTGACCAATGGGAACATTTTTTTTTATGACGAGAAACTGTTGGGTGCACAACTGGAGCCTTTGGAACGACTTCGGCATCCTTTGGAGCCACATTGCCCTCTTGCTGACCCGTTTGACCCACACTGCCCTCCTCCTGATGTTCAGCCGCACTGGCCTCCCGCTGACCCTGTTGAGCCAAACTGGCCTCCTGCTGACCCTGAAGAGCCAAACTGGCCTTCTGCTGACCCTGTTGAGCCACACTGGCCTTCTGCTGACCCTGTTGAGCCACACTGGCCTTCTGCTGACCCTTGTCCTTGTTGGAGTTGTTTTCAGAAGCCCCCACTAGTCAAACCCCAAAAGTACAACCCAAAAAAACAGAAAAAATAAAGGAAAAAAAGTCATGGTCATCATCCAAGTTTCGTGGGTATGGTCATCATCGTCCAAAAGTGGTTTCTGCTTTTTCTCCAAGGCTAGAAAGTCGTCGTGCTGGAAACAAAACGCTTCTCTCCGGTGTTGTCCCTCCAGCCAGTCATAGTCTGGGTTGAACATGTCATAGGGTAACTTGGGATTGTTACATGGATCATCCTCCTGGCCAAAAGATAGCTTCCTGGCAACAAAGTCTTCACGAAGAGGTCGTGCGACACTTTCCACAGGCATGGCCATATCCTGCATAGGTGGCAAGATGCTTCAAATATTGGTCGCCAAAAAACTATCTTTAAAACAAAATTTCAGACCAACCCGTGTCCTGCTTAGTGTCATACTTTTTTGCCAAAAACTTCTGTGTGTGACCACTGAACTTAAATGCCTTGATCTTGTTCTGGGCGATGGGGTCAGGTTCAACAATGTTCGTTTTCTTCCGGTCATAGTCATCATGGCCACTGGAGGTTAATGACTTTGAAGCCTCGTAGTTCATGGTCTTGGGAGTGGCTGGTCGCTCCGCTTGTCCAAGTCCAAGTCCAAGGTGTTTGTTCATCAACTCTTGGTTCGCCGATGTCTCATCAACATCTATCATGACAACGTCGCTCATGGCAAACTTTGTTGCGTCAGCACACTCGAGTCCCCAGTAAGGCAAATGCTGCATGGTTAATAATAATGAATGAATGGTCTTCACTTGCATAAAATCAATATCAAAGTTCAGCAACGAGTGATGTGTGTGTTGAACAGGTTGTTTTTTTCCACCTTTCTGCATGGTATATCAAAATTTGCTTTTCGTAGCGTCCAGGTTGCCAATTTGGCACTTCAAATTTGATCTAAGAGCTGGCTCTTGACCCACCTAGCTCCCTGTTGCATCGGGTTCAAATCACTTCATATCTCATTTTTACATCCTCAAGTTTTCCAGCTAGCTAGAGCTAAGTGGTAAACCTTGGCTACCTTTACACCCTCAGGTTTTTCAGCTAGCTAGGTGAGTTGGTAAACAAGTCCAGCTTCCATGGTGAAACCAATGCCTTTCACGTACCAGAGTGGCTTCGCAGGCCCAAGCACTTTTTCACGGGCAAAATGCCTCATTCCTAGGTTGTCAACTGCTTTGACTCCAGCCCCAGCCCCAGCCCCAAAAAATAGTTTCCACTCAAAAACAATGTCTCTAATGATGTTCCAAGAGTCTCCAGACCAAGACCAAGTAATTGCTTGCGCTCAACACTTTGTACCCAGCCAAGCCTGCGATGTTTGTCGATTTTGCTGTCTTGATTGTCGCTGCATTCGGTTTGAACAGGGAATAGCTTTCATGAACCACTTCAAGTCGATCTGTCTCCTCGCCCCGCTTGACGGAGGGAGGACGGTCAACACCATGCCCGGTGATCTTTGTGTCCAAGATGCCCTTTCGCTCCAACATAAGCACTAACTCAAAGAGAGTCATGGGATTCGAATCGGCTGGTCCTTGACTTGTTTGCTCTTCAAGCACCACCTTGGAAGTGCAACACACTGCCAAAAACAAAGTTTGGTTTGCTCAAAAACAAAAGAAAAAGCTTAAGTTAACAATAACGAAAAACGTATTTAAAAACTCATATTGATGGAAGTTCATAGAAAAATGAAATCCAAGCTTAAGGTACCATCGCATTTTCGGATTCAATCCGGAACTCAATAGCCTTGTTTTCATTGGCTGCTTTGCTGAGAAATTCCTGTGCCTGAGCTGCTGATTGTTGTCCAGTACTTTTGTCTTGTCTTCAAAATTCGAAAAATGAAAAATACTGGTTTGTGTTTGAACTGAGTTGCTTTTGCTGACTCTGAGATCCAACTCCCACCTGCGTACATTAGGAGTGGCTTTGCGTTCTCTGCCTGCACCCCAGGTAACATCACCTTGCTTGGGCTTGTCAGAAAAAGCTTCCCGCCCACCACATAGCAAGTAATGCTGGTCCCCACAGTCAGAGTGATGGTCGCATCGACTGTTTTGTGCTTTTCCTCAAACTCTTGCTGGCTCATAGATGGTGGTGTTGGACACGGTTCTGCGCCTTTCGTCGGTGTCACGGTGACTTCTGTCTCTTGCTGTCCCAAGTCAATGTCCTCATCACCTGCTTTTGGTTTGGGTTTTTCATTTGCAGAGCACGGGGCAAAGATGGAGTCGAAGTTCTTCAAACGAACGCGCCAATCAGGGTCTTGGTCGCTTCAAGTTGATAAGACGAAAAACAAAGAACATGTTTTAAAATTAGCCCCCACATGAATATGTCAACATTAGCCCCAAAATTTCCATCAAATCAATGAAAACTGTGAAACAAAAACAATGTGATTGTTGGATCACCAAGTTTCTTCGGACAGGATCCATCAACCATTTGCCTCGAATTTCTTTTGGAATCTGAAGGAGGCCATCCGAAGACATTTGGCACATCTTCAACTGAGGAAGTCGTGGGGCAGCCTGATCACTGAGATCTGCGCTGGGTTGATATTTTGGCTGCATAGTCCCAATGATACCTCGGCTTTGCTTCCACTCCTGCAGGTTTTGTTTCAAGTATCCCCTCTACTTCAAAAACGTTTGTCAATGTTTTCATGACCCATGTCCCATGTCCTCCAAAAGTTTGTCTTTCACGCCGGTGACTGCAAACTGGAAGATGTTTGCATTTTGGGTCTCGCTGAACGCTGCCAAATAGCACTCCGTTTGTAAGTCATTCATCATGTCAGCCAGCACCTCCACAAAATTTGTCCGTCACACAGAAAATGAAAAGTACTGTATTGAAAAGTACTTTCTTAAGCGCCCGTTTTAACACTGACACGCCTTCTCAAACACGCCATCATACATGGTCAGGTGCTGCACGATCAACGCCTGACCCTTCAAGCTACTCACCCTCCCCAAGCATGCTTCAAGAATGCTTCGCAGGGTAGCTGGGTTTGCAAACCATTGGGCTGATTCTTGCTTGTCCTCAATTGGTCATGCGGGGTTCCCAAAACAGTTTTACTAAGATGATGATTCCTTTTTTGGAGATTGATTCAAACAAAGGAACACAGAAAATACAAAACAATATCGAATGATCAAACCAAGAAGCTGTCAGGGAACGCCCCTGCTCATGAGTGAAGAAGGTGCCGCTCTCGGGTGTCACGTACTCACCTAAGTTGATTCTGTGGCAGAGATTGCCAAGGATTAATATGCCAGAAAGAATGTCAGATAGAATGTTAGTATATATAACGTATGCCACATATAATTACCACCAATTGATATGTGAAACTCTGATGTCAGAATAGTATGTCAGAGTTGGGATCACTTGAAGTAAGATCATTTTTTGAAGCCTAATTCAACGGTTAGTCAGCCAAGTAACTCACTGGCAAAGGGGAAGTTGCCACGTTGACAAGATTGCACCAGTAGTCTGACTTTGCAAAAACGTTGTCATCAGCAAATTTGCGCTCCGCGCCCCTTGGGGCCTTATAGAGAGTGCCTTGTCTACAGCCCAAGGTGCTGTCAAGGACAATCATCCATGCTGGCAAAGCTTTTGGGAATGTCCTGAGATTACATTTGGCTGTCAAAAAATGCAAAATCCACAAGACAAAGGTGGCATCCCCCAATTCAAAAAAAAAATATATTTATTTTCCAAAAATCCGATTTCCCTGTAGTGAACTTGTGTCAAAGAGGATTTGCACTGCTTTGGCTTCCATCTGCATGCTGCTCAGCTTGTCCTCAATTCTCCTAGCGGTTTGCCACCCGGTTGCAAAACATGATAGCACAAAACAGGCAAATGACAATCAAACAAAAAACCTACTGTATCAAAATTACTTTAACCCATCTCCTTTGCTCTCCTCGTAGTCCATTCATGACACCGTCACCCGCCAGGATTGGACAGCACATGAACACCATGCCTCACATTCACATCAGCCCCAGAAAAACATAACCCCAACAACCAAAAGACACACACACACATATATATATATATACATACAAATAGTTTGGAAGCAAGATACTGTTCTCAGGATTCTGGCTCAATAGCTGGTGGCACCACGTACAAATCTCGTTGATTTCTGGCGCTGCCAGTCTACCAAACTTGCTCAAGTCGACAAATCCCAAGTGATGTAGCTTGTTGATGTCCGTGGCATCGAAACGATTGCTTGCATCTTGCAGCACTCTTCTCATCAACCCTGAAAAGATATTGCCCTTGTTCTTGTCAGAGCATACCATGAGGTCGTTTTTGCATGAAGCTGTCAGCAACCCCGAGACCCACAGTGATTTGGTCCCTCATGTGAAGCACCTCATACCGCTTGTGGATATCACAGAAAAAAGATGAAAAAAGATCACATATAGAATATGATATAATAATATATAAGTTAATATAAGATAAAAATCAGATAGATAGATAGATAGACAGACAGATAGACAAATAGATAGATCGAATGACATATATATATGTATATAGATCTATACACACAACATGATTGTATTCAAAGTAAGAGGGTTGTTGGAGGGTTCAAAAATATAACCACTACATGATATGAAACCAAGACGCTTGCTGCACATGTCGGTTCGATTCCACCTCTCAGGGAATTCAAGTTTTAAAGCTTGCTTGTTGCTATGTGTTTGGTGGGGCCTTTGGAAAAAGCGAGCCTTGTTCTTCCTCAGGTTGTATGACACAGCTTCTCTGTAATCATGACTCAGGTTTGCAACTGCGACCCCATACTCAGCGGATAGCAACGCTTCCTCCAGGGTTCAACTAATATTTCTTGAACATCAGTAACACTTCCGAAATAGTAAAGTAAAGCCAACAAAAACATAAACATGTTCTTTCAAAATGCACCAAACAAAAAGTCAAACAGTTTTCGCCTTGTGTCCTGAGCTTGGTCCAAAGCCTCTGACTCGTCTTCCTTCATAGATCCCTGTGGTCGCAGGATAGCCCGCCCCACATGGTCCTGCCACATTGCTGTCATCTCGGGAGTGAATCTCTGAGGTTTTGCTAGCAAGATAGCATCCAAATCTTGGCTGTAGTCCCTTAGTCTGTTGGAATGATCCCTGACAATCTGACACAACAAAAAAACCCAACAGAAACACTTTGTAAAAAAAAACATGTTCTTTCTGAGAAACCCATTCAGAAAGGCTGAGGTCATGGAGTCAATCATCTCAGGTGTCACGCTGGAATCACCATTGCATTGGTTCAGCACCCACTGGAAAATCGCGCAGTGGCTCACATTGTTGGACCATTGCTCTTCGGTCCACCGAAGTCGAGCCCTCATGCTTTTCTTCATCTTCCCACGGTTGTTGCCCCACCATTGGTTGTACTTCATGAAGTGCAAGTGCTGGACTTCAGGTGTCACCTAAATTGCTTGAGCATGAAAAGTTTTGAAAAAGTAGTCACAAAAAAAAGTAGACACAGGAATCAAAAGCTGAGTAACTGTCAGGAGCTTCTCCCAAAAAGCTGTCACGCCTTTCACAGTCTCGTTCAGCAAATGTCTCTTCAGTCTCAAAATGCTTTCGCTGTAACCTGACAAAACCATTGAAAAAATGAGCCAACATAATTGTTTTTTTGGTAGCCTTGCCTGATTCTTCCCATTTGTTGTGATCAAGATGGTTGCGCAGCAAATTCCGTGAGGCTTCATCTAGCCCAATGATAATACACCAAATTGCTGATTGCTGGTCGGGGGAGATCTGCCAGCGACGAATGGCTGAATTGGCCTTGAAGCCATTGTATTTCTGGACCAGCTCTTGTAAGATCTCACCCTCATTGAGTTCACGTGCGCTTTCCTGCTGCGTTCTCTCTTTGATGAGTCTTTCAAATCTAGCTGCCAGCTTCAGAACCTGTGGCTAGTTGGTGTTTGAAAAACATTTTTTCTGATTTGAAAGGCAAAACAGTTGCTCTTTGAAAAACCAAGAAGCATCTTTCCTTTGCCGCTCGGCACCCTGCGTTGACAGTTGAATGGACTCAAAGCTGACAGTTTCGAAGTCCACCACCGCTGTAATAGTGCTCGGTAGGCTGAAGAAATCCTTGATGGCTGGCAATAGACACTCCAGTAACTCCTGTCCAAAAAAATGTTGATGCGCTCCCCAAGCTTTAGGCTGGGGCTGGTGGATGTACATACTATGTACATATATATATATGATATATATATATGTATTACAAATAAAATATAAATATCATCCCAAAAGATAGAAGAGAGTTTCCAGGTGGCTATATATAGATAATGTCCAATGCATATTTGTAGGTTTACCGCTTTTCTATCTTGTTGGGGGGAGGCTATGCACATGTATGTTTATTTGTTTGCACTGAAGGCATATTGATATTGGTATACATGGTTTGCAACAAAATATTGAAGATAAGATAGGGCAAGAATTGTACTTGTGGATTTGACTGGTTTCTTGAAACAGCACAAACATATATTGGCAGGGTCCTTTCCAGCAATGGGATCAATGTCAGATGCAACCAGCAAGAGGAACAAACCAGCTGTCCTTAGGTGGAGTGGGACAAAAAGCAACATCTCAGGTAGGAGGTGCCAAGAAAAAGTTTCAAAAAGTTTCCACAAAAATAAGAAAAAATTAGCCAAGGCTCAGTCGAGTGAAACCTTTCTTCACATAGAACTTCTGGTCTTCTTCTGAGTGTCTCTCTTCCCCGGGAATTCTCACCAAGTTCAAGTCCAAAGGTTCACGGTGCAATCGGCACCCTGAAAAAAGATAGGATATGCAACAGGTAGTCCAGTCCTCGATACAGGGCATGTCATCAGGTTTGCAAACCACAATCGATGAAAGAGGCACCGCTGTCGTGATGTGCTCGACGGATCCAGCCAATAGACTGGAGATATCCTTAACTGTACATAACCAAAATGTTCCAGGTTTGGCATTTCAAACAAGTAAAGACACCCCACTATCCAATGATGTTCCAGATTTAAGCTTTCAAACAAGTAAAGACATGCCAAAAATCAGGGTTGTTTTTTTTTAAAGCTAGACACTGGTGGAGGTGCGCACTCCATTTTCTTTCCATGGATCTTCATCACTTCCTCCAAGAAGTTTTTCATCTTGTTCACACTGGCTAGGGAGTTCACAGGGTTGCTAAATGCATCCAAGACCATATCCACTGGATGTGATAGAGCACCCAGTGATGTCCCAGCCTTCACAGGTTCGATGAACATTGCCAAATACGCTAGAATGTCCTGTCAGGGAAGCTACGTATGTGACCGCATGCACATGGAGGCACAGACATACATCCCCAACCATACACATACATAAACACACATACACATACATATCATATACACATACACACACACACATACATACACACATATACCTACACATACATACCTACACATACATACACATACACATACATAGGCATACACATACACATATATACACGTACATACATACAAACAAAAATCATATATAGATATAGATATAGATATATGTATACATATATACATATATCTATATATCATATCATATCATATTTATATATATATATATTCATCCATCCATCCACCCATCCACCCATCCACCCATCCATCCATCCATCCATGCATCCATGCATTCATGCATCCATGCATCCATGCATCCATCCATCCATCCATCCATCCATACATACATACATACATACAGTACACATAGATGCACATACATGCACATACTTGCACATACTTGCACATGCCATTTTCCTTGGCGAAGGACGTGTCTCCAGGCATCTTCTTGAGGGCTGTTTGCCACTCTGTCTTTCGTTTTTTGGACGCCTGGCTTTCATTCTCAGCCTTTCCCTTAGCTGATGTGGGTTTCAGTTCACTATCGTACATTCGATTTTACAATAAAAAGAAATGCCAAAAACACAACAACATGACAGCGCACAAGAAGAAACAACTTTTAACATTTAACCAAGGATCCTGGAAACCCTCCGCTTTCACTTCAGTCTTGATCTCCTTCTTGGTTGTGTCAGCCTTGTTCTCATCTCCTTGTTCTTCCTTTTTGGGTTTTGGACTGACGCTCAAAGCGAGCTGGGCTGCAGCCACCCCAGCCCTCAAGAGGGGTGACTCCATGGCTCTTTTGGTTGTGGACTAGGCCTAAGCCAAAAAGTCCTTTTCAAATTTCATCAGATGTGGGTGGACTCCCAAAAATTTATCCTGGCTTGGGGTTGCTGACCTAAAGTAGTAGGTGGTGGGTTGTTGACCCGAAGTTCGTCGTAGGTGGTGGGTTGTTGACCCGAAGTTCGTCGTAGGTGGTGGGTTGTTGACCCGAAGTTCGTCGTAGGTGGTGGGTTGCTGACCCAAAGTTCGTCGTAGGTGGGGGGTTGTTGACCCAAAGTTCGTCGTAGGTGGTGTTTTTTCAGCAAAAGTTCGTCGTTGTTTGGGTTCCAACCTACAAAGAGTTTTGTCACATAGTTGACGTTCAGATTTTATCAAATTTCAATTCCACCTACACCAAACTTTTGGACGCTAGCATCAATTAAAGTCGGCGTTGGTTACCCCCCTACCTACAAAGACCTTAGTATTGGCTAAGTATACCTACAATGAAATGTGGTTTTTTGAAATTTCCAAGTTCGGCGTAGGTATACATAGCCCTTACTAAGGTTGAGTGTTATCATTTGCCTAGAGAAATTATTTTATAAAATATTTTTTTGTGATTTTGATATGATTTTGTTATGGTTTTGTTATGGTTTCCTTATGGTTGATTTTATGTTTTTTTTGCCTGTCCTCAAAACAGTTATGATTTCGATATGGTTTTGTTATGGTCCTGGAGTGCTTCATTTTTTTCTTATGAAATTTGTTATGGCTGGTCGTATCTTTTTTGTAAAAAAAAATATTTGGTCATGTTTTGGACATTTCAGAATGGAAAAAAACATAAATTATTTGTATCTAAAAAATAAGAAAATTTGAATCAAAAGCAAAAAATGCTTTAGCTGCTAACACATTAGACTTTTAGATTTTAGACTGAACAAAATCCTTGCCTTATCCGTATCATAATTCAAAATCTATTAGTTTTTCTTTCAGTTTTGCTTGATGTTTCACTTTGTTTGATTTTTTGACGCTAAGCTAAATATAATTGTAAAAAGTAACTAGTAACTAGTAGAACGAAAGGAAGCGAATGATATTGAAACTGATCTTCACTTTTGGTTGGTCCACAAAGCCACAGATTCATTAGATGTTTCAAAGTTTTCTATGAGATGTATTTTCTTCTTTCCTGTCCTATCTGACATTTTTACTTGACATATATTCTTGGGTTCTAGTGTGTAGCCCCTGTTGATCAAGCAGCTAGCAGCTAGCAGCTAGCAGCTTAGCAGCTAGCAACAGGCAGCTAGCTAGCTGCTAGCAGTCACTAGTAGCTAGCAGCTTGATCACACAACTCGAATTTTTTTTGTTGTCATGTATCCTTTTCTATTCAATTCTATTTTTGCCTGATGTCATATCTGGCATCCGGCATTGCTTTTTCATCATAAACAAACATTTTGATCTAAATCTATTATCATCTCTTCTAGTCAAATCAATTATACTCATTCTACTCGATCATTCTGATTCTAATCTCTTTTCTGTCGTCAGCGTATTAGCCTATCCTTCCTGTTTATCAGCTCTGCGATATGTTCACAAAATCTCCAGAGAGTACCCTTGTCACACTTGCCATCTCGTGCCAGTCATGCTGGCAACCAAAGACATGTCTAATGTCACACTTTCCTTAGCCGTGCCTTACAGACATATCCTTTGGAAGATCACATGAAACTATTTTCCCAATAGCCCAATAAGCCCATAAGCAATGTAAGGCTTTGTACACTGTGTATGGATCCATTCGCAAGGTCCAGTTGAATTGCCTCCATAGCCATCATCATAGTCATAGTCAAAGTCACGTGACATAGACATAGTCACAGTCATAGTTCAAGTTCAGATAGTCAGTTATTCAAGGCAGTTAGTCTGTCATAGCTGTCATAACTTCTGCGGTCCATGACATCATCAAGACAGTTCGGATAAAGTCAAGTCATCATCGGTAGTAATAGTAGTTATAGTAGTGAGCGCATGGCACACAAACACCGGGACAGGAGTTTTGAAAAAGGGACGCGACGCTATAATATGAATAGGGAAAGGACTGCCTGTAGGTAGGAATGGCTTGTGCACTGGAATAGCGATGAGATGAAGTCTGCAACAGTGCAAAGACACGACAGCATGAAATGAACTGGTCCGTGGAATGTGGAACGAGTGACTAAACCCTAAATTCAGTCAGTCTGCAGCAACATTGAAAACTTCTTCTTCTTCTTCTTGCCAGCCTCACCCACAAAATGGTAAAGCTTATATTCAAACTGAACTCTGTAGGTCTGTAGCATGCTGCAACGTGCCTGGAGATCCAAAAGCATCAGAAAGAAACCAAAGTTTGAAATCAGAGAGTTCCTCAGTGGTTCCACTGTCTGGCGACGGGATGGGAGGTGGGTCCGGCGACGGGCGTGGGAGGTGTGGCTGGGGTCCGACGAGGGGGGGGTGGGAGGTGTGGCCGGGGTCCGGCGACGGGGGGGGGAGATGTGGCCGGACGAAAACAATAACGAAATCATATCAAAAAGACGGAGGCACCCCAAAACCATAAGAAAATCATATCAAGAAAACGGAGGTACTCCAAAACCATAAGAAAATCATATCAAAAAAACGGAGAGACTCCAAAACCATAAGAAAATCATATCAAAATCATTTCAAAAAAACGGAGAGACTCCAAAACCATAAGAAAATCATATCAAAATCATATCAAAAAAAGGAGAGACTCCAAAACCATAAGAAAATCATAAACTTTGGCATATCAAAATCATATCAAAATCATATCGAAATCATATCGAAATCATATCGAAATCATATCGAAATCATAAAAAACATATGTTTTGATTTATTTTTATGATTTTGATATGATTTTGTTATGGTTGATTTTATGATTTTGATATGGTTTTGATATGGTTGATTTTTCGTGCTCTGACTTTGTCACAGGAACCTTATGTTTTCAGTCACCCCCACCACAACAATACCAAAGGCCCCATCTCCGATCCCGAGTTGCGCTATGGTTTTTTTCTTAGCCCTTCGTTTCTGCGTGTGTGGGCCCCCCGCCCCCACGCGTGCGACGCAGCACCGGAAACCCACAACAGCGAACAAACACGGAACCTGGCTCCCCCCGCAGCAGTCGCATTCTCAATCCTGGAATATGGACGGCAGTGATCTTAAGTCACAAGCACAGAAAAATCAAATCATATATCTCTGTATCTGTCATTCGCGTTTGACTCGCATCATCCCCGTTAGGCCATGCCTAACTTGCCCTTTTTCAGAGCAGAACGGGGCAAAGTGGTATTGAAAACTGACTATAGTGAGTGACTAACGGCTAGTGACTAAAGTGAACAGTGACAGCGTGGGATGAAACAGGAAAAGTAGGGGCAACAATGCGCCAACAGCGAACTGATGAAGCAATCATTGATTGACACATGTTTGGCTCCCCTAGAATCTGAACTGGTATCGGTGACGCATCTGCGCTTTGTGTGCAAACTCGTAATGTATAATGACAAAGAGAGTTGCAGTTTTGAAAGTTCAATGTGAACTTTCCTAGGGTCTTAGAAGCCAAAAACCTTCAAACCTGTGTTTATCTCAAAACTTGCATGGCACATGTTTGGGGTTTCTGCGTCGCGTAGGCGGGCGTAAACGCGAGCGATGTGCATGTACTTGAAACAAAAAGCATGTTTCCTGCTTTACAGTTTTCCTCTTGCGTATGTGATGTATGTCGTGTTTCATTTTAAATTACTTCTTTAAAGAACCAGACAAAGTTGTTGAGCTAAGCTAAACAGCTCAGCTAAGCTAAACCATCTCAGCTAAACAAAGTTTTTGAGCTCCTATGCCTATGCCCATGGCCTAGGGCCTGTGGTTGATGGCCTATGGCCTATGGCATTATTCGTTAATGAATCATTAATCACGGGCACAGCCATTCAGAAACCCACGGCGTCCTTTGTGACGGCTGCTGTTCCGGGTGGTTACCATTACTATCTCAGAAGGAAGGAGGGCTGACTTTTAAAAAACAGTTTAAGTGTAAACCTGGCTAAACCCATGTGCTGTGTGTGTAGCAGTGTCAGCGTAGTCCGTGATTGAACCATGGTGTCCAATGTTAAGGATTCCGTGTCTATTTGGCAGCCAACCGCCTTTAGTCAGTCACTTTAGTCAACAAAAGCATCATGGCTCTCTTGCCTCAGTGATCCAATCTGGAAGCTCTTTAAAATTTTAAATTAAACATATGAGTGTTTCGGTAGTTAGTTGGTTAATTATTTTTCCATTTGATTTCCACTTATCGTCTTTGAACTACAGCTAAGAATTGTTGATTTGAAAATCCAGCTTTCTTATCCGATATCCTTGACTTTTTCCAACAGCCCTTGCAGATTTTCAATGTTAAATCATGTTTTTGAAAAATATGTTTTTTTTTAAATTGGCATTCATTAGGCAATTCTTTTCAATTAATCTTATATTTCAATTAATAATTCTTTTCTCTTTAACTCAAATATAAATAGTAAAACTATCTTTATATTTTTCTCATATTTCAATTTATAATTTTCTTGACCCCAAAGATAAAGTAATATTAGTAAAATAAATCTTTACACCTTTTCTTATATTTCAATTTGTACTCAGTCTTTCATTGAAATATGCATTTTCCAATAATATACAAATATATATAGTAATTTTCTCTTTTCATTTTTTCATTTTTAAATCTGTATTTTTTTCTTAAGTAAATTTAGTAATAGTTCAAATATATGTCAATAATATAAATACATATCTTGAAAAGTTCTATCAAAATATGAAGGCTGGAGACATGTCCACACCATAACAAAACCATATCGAAATTCATATCTTCTTCAGGAGGTGGTTTCAGACCATAAGAAAACCATATTTTCCACCATATCGAAACCATAACAAAATCATAACAAAATCATATCGAAATCGCAAAAAAAATAAACCTTTAAATAATTTTTCTGAGCCACATGATAACACTCAATACTAAGGTCGGCGTTGTTCACCCCCCCACCTACACCAAACTTTTGGACGCTAGCAGGAGTAAATTTCGGCGTAGGTGGAATTGAAATGAGACGTCAATAAGGATTTTCGAGCTGGAAAATCTGCAATCATTTTTTTCACCTCAGCAAAAGCTTCAAGCAGCGCCATCCCCTTTGGGCTTGGGAATGTCAGGCTCAACCTCAGTCAATTAGATTCAAACCTGTTGTGATACCCTTGAATGTATTTCCACACAAAATTCAACAAGACACTAGGACCTAGGACCTCACAGCGTTTTTTTTTCCCACACCAAACATAGTACTGGGGACCCCTCTTGGGTCATCCGACTTCTCAGCGCTTATGGTGAATCCAAAAGCTCATGGTTTTGCAAAAACAAATTTCATATGTTAAAGTGTCGTGTGGTTTTCAAAATGATAGCTTTTGCTTTTGTATCACCGCCTGCGTCTCCAAACTGCGCGTAGGGGGACGCTTGGGGAGAGTGTTGCCAAAACAACAGGATGGGGTTCTTCTCGGGCTATGGGCATAACCTCAATCACAGAGGCCTCCTCATGCCATGTAAGAGGAATCACTTCCTCTGCAGGGAGTGTGTCATCAGCTAAAGCATTCAGGTAGTTGGCAGCTTGTTGACAACTGGCGTTTCCCCCAAGCAGTCGCACAAAAATTTGGGCAAGATCTTTCCACTGTCTTCGGGTGTTTGGGGCCACCGGTCTTGTTGGAATGATTCCTGAACACTGAATATGGTTCAAGGTGGAAAGTAAAAAAAATGTGATCTTGAAATTTTGGATTGTCCAAAATTTGACATAAAAAACAAAGATGAAAAATCAATGGTTTCAAAACATACTTTCTCTGAAGACATAGTTGCTTGTAGTGGTCGATGGATAAGTGTCTCGGTTCTCCGGGGTCATCACAAGCAGGGGTTTCTGTCGTAGTTCTGTTGACGATATATACTCTTTGGTGAGCACGAAAACGTCCTCTGGATGTTTGGCTCTTCGGGAATTTGTGCCTTCATCTTGTTCAAAGCTCTCAGGTAAGTCTGTCAAGGTTTGGAACATTGAGTATGCACAACACTAGCTGCAGACAACATCCCACAAAACCCCAATTGAATTAAACACAAAAAGCGTTCATCTTGAGGAAAACATCGGAAATTGTGAAACCCTTACACCCGCCTCTCCGCCGAAGGAAGAAGAAAAAGTGATTTGCCGTGGCATCAAGACGCAATCCCCCTTCCTTGTTTGGTTGATTTCAACTTTTTTTGGGGTTGAAAAAAGGAAAACCGAAAAACCATGCAAGATGCACATATAGATCGAGGATCCATGGTAGTTGGCGCAAAGCTATCGTTGTGGTGCTTCCAATCCCTGTACTTGCGCATGATTTGGATATCCACAGGCCCTCCGATCCAAGAAGCCAGAGATGGCTTTGACAGCTCTTCCTGAAGGATAGACTTGACCGAGTCAGCATCAACCATGCTTGTAGATCTTCCCAGACGACGGCTCAGCAATCCCCACAGCTGATCTTAGTTGAAGGTCTTATACTGAAGAAAAACACCCTAGCTGTCAAAAATGAGCATACTCACAAGCACAAAGCTTTGCTAAAATAGCAGATAAGGTTCCTATTACATCATGGGTGTGGCTGACTCTCATCATCATCATCATCATCGTATACCTTCCATAGATGGTGTTTTATACCGAAATCACCCTTTCAATTTGAAAAACGTACTAAAAAACTCCCTCCCCAAAATTGACAAACTAAAGCAAATGCTGAGCAAGCTTGAATTTTTGGTGATTGATCAAAGCAGCCATGTATGATGCGCACACAGTATTTGTCAGTTCTTTGACCGTGTTGTCCCCGATCACGCAGAGCGTGTCAGGGCAAGGTGTTCCATTAGCTCTGCACAGGGCCATCACCTTTTCTATGGTAATCATCAAAAGTTCTTGCACCATGCTGGAGCCACTAAACTGATTCTCCTCCAAAATAATCAGCTGTAGAGTGTGTCCAAAGCACCAAGCCCCATGCAATTTTATTTTCGGCCTCTGAAACTTGGCCGCCCTGTAGCATGTACGCAACTGGGGGTGGCGAGGAATCATGTACTTCGCCTCCAACTGAAAAAAATATTGCACATAGTTCTTGAAAAAGACTTCTCAACAAAACGTTCAAGTTACGGAAAAATAGTTTTTAAAATTGCACGAACTGAAGCTGTAAAAAACGAAAGTAAAAACGAAAGTAATGTCCTGGTCAGCGCCATCGGTCATGATTGTGATGCATCGGCTGAATGTTTCAGCACTGATGTCACGAAGTGACCAGAAAGCACAGCGATCAGAATACTGTGAAACAAGGTGCTGCCTGTAGAGTCGCAGAGCGCCAAGTCTCACGTCCATAGACAGCTCTCGATTTTGAAACCTAAGTTGGAACAAAATGATCTTCAAGAAGACCTTCAATAGAAAAAACAAAACAACAGGGGGCACATAATAAGACAAAATGACAAGATGGTTTGTCTTGGCAACTGCTCTTTCAATTCTTGGCACACATCGCATTGCGAGAAGCTGTTCTGGTCCCGAAATTTCAGTACCAAAGTCCACTTTTGGTTCCATTGCCGAACAAATGTTCCATACCTAATTTGGACTGAACATTCAACAACACATCGGAACACATGTACATGCCAAAAAAATAGATGACAATTGACAATTGATGACAAAATGATTTTGTCCAAAGCTGATGAGGTTGCGAAGCTTGGCCAGACACGGAATGTGCCGAGCACCATCCACAGTAGAATTGATAAACTTCCCACAGAGTTCCCGGTGGCAAATATTTCCTTGTCAATTTAGAAAGATCCTCAGTTGGCATCAAGAAGGAAAATCATAAACTATGATGATCTATGACAACTATCTAACCTTCAGAAATGTATAGAAATGTTATATAATATTTGCCAAGACACACTGAATGCTCCAGTGGCATGCATGTTCACAAGGAATGATGTGTTTGAACGTAGGAAGTGTGCAAGATCTTCATCATTTGTCTCGTCAAACTCTGATGGCAATGCAAAGTCGCTATCTTCATCTTTGGTCGTGTCAGTCTTCTTCATCTTCACTTTATCAGATGATGATTTTGCTGGGCCAACCCGCACAAACCTTAGTGCAAAAAAAGATACCTCCCCGATATTTACCCAACAAAATTAAGTATGCAATGTATCAATGTTTTGGAATATTAACTAGTCAAGGTGCTTGTTCGGCAACGGTTCCGCTACACTGTTGTAGAGAACCATGCAGAATGCATCTATAGATGATCTCAAAGGTGTAGATCCAGTAGGAGGTCGCCGTCCAAATCGAAGATCTATGGCCCCGATCTTGTCCACACGATGGGATGAAACGCCCAACAAAGCCTCAAAGCAGATCCGTTTCACATACCGATTGAGGAAGTAAAACTCTCGTCTTCCCCGGTCAAAATTCCCGCTCTTCAACTTCTCCTCATCCTGTAGTGCTAGGAATAGGATTGCATCTTGGTCTCTTTTTTCTTTGGCCTCAAACATGTCGAGGAAATGTTTGACCTCATCCAGCTCATATTGTTCAAAACAGCTTCCCTGGGTGCACTTGCATTTGTTCTTCAAGAGTTTTTGCAGTCTCTCCTGACCCCCAAAAGCACGGCCACAAGAGAAAAAATAAAACTATAGATCAAAAGTTAACATCCAAACTCATGATAAACAAACAAAACCAAAAAGTTTCAAAATCAAATCAGATACTGTATCATTCCTGGCTGGTCTTTTTTCTCCGGCTGGTTTGCTTTGTTTTCTGTCAGCAGCAGCCTTAGCACGGTTTGCATTGTTGTACCGCCTCTTCTTTTTGTTCGGCTCGGCTGTTTTCGTTTCTGTGGCTGCCTTCAGGTGGGAAGACAAGAATTTGTCCATAGTAGCAAAATTGAGCTGTACTGTTGTAATCTTGCACCTGCTGGAAGACTCAGTGTCACCCACGTAAGCTGAATTGCCAGACTCGGAGTCTTCAGAAATTTCCTCATCCAGTTCAGCACCAAAAAGTTGAGGTTGATATTGATCACACAATTCATCCGGTTCTTCCTTTAGAAGGTCCAGCCCACTGCAAGATGTTTGAGGTTTGGGCACCTGCCTCTCTGCTAACTCATCTTGAAAAAGGAAGGATTCGGTTTCTTCGTCGGGCTCAATTTGAAAAAGACTGGGGCCATCTTCTTCAGTTTCGTCTTGGAACAAAGTAGGGCCATTGCTCATAGGAGATTGGTATAGTAGTATGGGAAAGATAGTAGTATAGTATAGATTACATCAGTTCATACTTTGAATCCTATGTTTGACTTGAAGGCTTGTTTTGAAAAGATAATCACATTGCGATTGTCAAAATTTCTTTAAATTTACTCATATGTCCTGTTTGTGGGAGTGACCCTCACTTATGAGCCAAAATTACATGAGTTCATCATGTAGTAGCAGGGAGAGATAAACTGGGAAGGCTTTTCAGAGCAATAGTGACAAATTTACTTCTTTTCTTTGAGGATGAGGCCATAGTCGCTCATGTTCGGCGTTTCTGCCCTGCTGCTCCATCCTGCGGATAGGAAATTTGCAATGTTTTTTTTTAACAGGTCTGTTTGCAATACCATATATGTGACTTTCAGTCCTGAACCGGCTCCACACAGATAAAAGCCTGGCTAACATATTTTTTTTGGACTTGGACTTGGACTAACAAAGATTTTAACCATGCTGGCTGGGCCGATAGCATCATAAATCCCACTGAAGGGATATCCATGCCGTTGCCTGAGAGAAAGGCCTGCAAACAACATGAGAAAATGTAATGTTTCAAAAAATGCTTCGATGTAATATTATTCCAACATATATTTCGAGAGACGCGCCTTGGCGCTCTGGGATAGTTGGGATACATCAGGTTGGACCACGCCACATTCTTTGGCCAGCTTCGCTGTAACAGGCAGACCCATGCTTGCCATCATCTCTGTGCCCATCATAGGCCGGCCCAATTTTCTGTTCCACCTTTGGGATTGTGGGCATTCCCCAAGTTTCCAAAAGAGAGAAAAATATGTTGTTTCAAACATGCCGACTTTCTTCTTTTTATCACTCAGCCAAGTTGCAGGCACGAGCTGCTTGTTGTAAATGTTGGTATGGAACCGTCGCTGGAGTTCACACGCCCTCTCTTCACTTTTTGGCCGGGATTCTGGGAAAGATCCTCAATTTATTTGTTCCTTCCGAACTACAAAAAGACAGGATTCTGGGAAAGACCTTTGGTTCCATGGTGTGGCCCCCAAATCAGCAAGCTACACATCGATTCCAATAGAAAAAGAAAATGTACTGCGTTTTCAAACCACCCAGTGTCCCATACCAACGCATGTGGGTAACGCTGCTCATAGATAGCTTTGAACTCAGTTGCAGAATTTGACAGTTTGAGATCAAAGAGACTATCGCATCCACATTCTGCCACCTGGTTTGTTGAAAGTTGTTGAACATAATATACCCTTTGGTTGGGAACTATCCAATCTTACATCCAAAAAATGAATAAAAACTAGGTTAAAAACCTTTGGTTGGGAACTATTCAATCTTACATCCCAAAAAATTGAAAAGTTATAGTGAAAAACTAAAATACAGGGTGGGCACCAGCTCATCGTCTTCGAGAAAATACAAATGGTCAGCAGTGAGTCGAAGCGGTTGGTGAGGCAACGTTGCCTTCAAGATAGTGCGTAGGTCTGGGCCCCTCCAGATATATTTGGACTTGTCGTAAAACAGCCTGTAAACTCGCAACCTGGAGAGATGATCAATGAGTGGGAAAGTGATGGACTTTTTTTGTTTTTCAAAACCTTGCCTGTTCATTGGTTTGCCAAATCGTTGAGGGCTGATACTCGTCTCCTGCTTGTTGTACTCATCGTCAAACTGCAGGTATTCCCCAGGAAATTTCTGGACATTTTCGTGAATGAACCAACCTGGCCTTGGCAACAAATCAAGGTTCAAATGTTTTCGAAAGAATCAATCAACCCAAATTAAAACAAAGAAAGCAAAATGAACCAATTGACCCAAGACACTTGGTATCCTTCTTGTCCTTGTCCCATACATCATGTACTGCACGTTTCTTGGTGTCTTTTGTTGCCATGCCTTCTTTGTTTCCCATCCTTACCAAAATTTCAACAAGGCCAGTGATAATTGTGGTAACCTTAGGCAAAGGTGGATTTGGCGAAATTTACTGAAGTTTATGTGAGAAGCAAATCAAGTGGGGACAAAATTGCATTCCTATGAACAGATTTTATCAAGATACAAGGAGAAGAGCACACAGGGAGGCCCGTCAACAGCACATTCCTCCTCATTTGGTGTGGGTGCCGGATTTCTTTGACACTGCTTCTTGTGGGTAGCGCAATAAGCTGTCTCCACCTGTCCAGGGTTCTGCAAATGATCAATACACAAAAAACCATATCTGGATTTATCTTACATTAGATATCATCTACACACACATATATATATATATAATTATATATATGCAGAGATAGATAGAATTAGATATAGATATAGATACAATTATAGATATGGATAGCAAGACCTAGATAGAGAGAGTTAGATAGAGATAGATAAAGATAGAGAGAATTAGATAGAAAAAGATCGAGATAGAGATAGAGATGGAGATAGATAGAGATAGAGATAGAAATATAGAGATAGATAGATAGATAGATAGATAGATAGATACAATGTGGTGCCCCCAAGATAGCTAAGTTGGTTTATAACTCTAATAAGTAGGACTTATGGTAGATATACCTACAGTTAATGGGATTATAAATCAACTTATAACTAGGGGGCACCACCTTGTAGATAGATAGACAGACAGACAGACAGATAGATAGATAGATATATATATATAAGAGAGAGAGAGAGATTCAGGTAGGTAGGTAGGTAGACAGACAGACAGACAGAGACATAGATAGATTATCGATAGACAGA